TGTGTGTGTGTGTGTGTGTGTGTGTGATGAAAGTTGCAGCACCACAGGAATACATGTGAGCGTATGAATGAATGTCCCTTCAACAGAGTCAATACACATAACATATGAATACTCAGTGTGCATCAGTCAGTGTCAATAAGACTTTTATTTCATAACGTAGGACACAAAAACTGAGGGAGCTCGCCCGTCCTGAGCCTCTTTCAAAACAAAACAGGATCACGTCAGCCTTGCATGAAAATGTAATAAACCACACGCTGCATCGTAAATGAGGCAAAACGTGTTTTGAAATGCATCCTTGCTGTTTCACGTCCTCACTGCTCCTTTGTGTCCTCCTCCGTCCTCTCAGCTCTCGGTCCATGAAGTGGAGGACAATCCCTCCGGTCATATTCTGGTCATGAAGGGAGCGCCGGAGAGAATCTTGGACAGGTTGGTTAATCAATAATGGATCGATTGTTACGTCTCGCTAGAAACGCAGGACACAAAACTTTCACTCGTTTTTCATTTTGCCTTTTTCCGTCTGTTCCGTGACGTAGTGAAGGAAACGACTTTTCTTAAAGGCTGGAAACGTTTTTTTTTTTTTTTTAAATCTCTGGGAAAGACAGGAGCCAACAAAGGATGGATCCAACCAACGACCATCGTCCATCTGAAACTTGAGAACAGATCTCTCAGTGTTTGTTCTTCAATCTTAAAAAAATACATTAGTGACCTGTTTAATTAGGAACTAATGAGTTTGGGGAAAGACCTCCTCCTGTAAATATCAGGAATGGAAGCTGCCATCTTGCACTTTGTCACGTTTGTCTTCTGGAGCCAGAGTCTGCACAGTCTCAATCATTTATTTAGCTAAATGGGACGATCTCATGATTTTGGCCACACGCTCCTCTTCAGTGTGGCTCTGTGAAAAAAATTCAATCTAACTTCCACCCTGTTCTTTATGCGCTCTGTGTTTGCCAGTGTTGCAAAGTAGAATTAACCTTTCGGCTTGTATAAATATTCGATGGACAATTAATGCAGAATGGATTATAACTTACAGCGCTTTTATTTCAAATCATGGTTGTATTAAAAATGTAAAAGCACAAACAATGTTATTTTTTAAAGCACATATTATTCCTGTGTTCAGCCGCAGGCCTTAGATCACCCTCTTTTGCTTAGGTTTGGTGTGTTGTGGTTGTATTTCAGCAGCTTGTCGACACAACATTACAAATATCGTGCGTATTAGAAGCGGTCCAAATATTTTCTGTGAATGATTTACAGGTGCAGCAGCATTATGGTGCAGGGCCAGGAGCAGACGCTCGATGAGAACTGGAGGGAAGCTTTCCAGAACGCCTACATGGAGCTGGGAGGCCTCGGAGAGAGAGTGCTCGGTACGTTTGGTGGCACCATCTATTATCGGCTTGTTTGGGAGTATGTAGCGGGGGAGATGCAGTTGGACACAGCACTTACTTTTTATAATCTCCTTTGTAAACAGGGTAGTTTCACCGAATGTCCCCATAAAAGTGTGGAATGTTTTTATTATGACAGCGAATCAGAGGAAGACGGTTTTAGTGACGCGGTCTTAAGCAGAGTGACTAGAATAGAGCCACATGGAGTCAAACCTGAAATTACACATGTTGGAGATGTCTCTTTTCTTTTCTGAATGTAGAACGTGGAGGTCTGTGAAGAACCGAGCTTCAACTCTCAGTTTCTCCGAAGTGTTTTGTGCACCGACTCTGTAAATGTCACCGGTTAGCGGGCATCGCTCTCAGCGCCACAGCTACTGATTATGTGCCACCGTCATTTAGTTAGAGTGGGTGTCACTTTGTCAACAGAAGCAGGTGGAGTACAGCCATATGTGGAGCGGAACTTCTGAAATCATGTTAATTATTAAATCTCGCTTGTGCCGAGGGTGAAGATGATGACGGTCGTGACGGGGAGAAAAGCTCTGCCATGTTTAGACCGAGCCTGTTTTTTTTTTTCATCTGCAGCATTTTATTTGGCTTTGCTCCACAGGCATTGAGCAGATACATATTTTAAAGGGCGGCGGATTATGAATTAATAAAAATGGCTTATTCAATTTGTATTTCAGAGCTGCAACCTCCAGATCTACATTTAAAATTAAAAATGATTTGTATTCATGCTGTCAGGTAAAGTGTCGCTGCAGCCGGAGGACAATGCATTTTCTGAAAGTGACTTTCAGAGCCTGTCTTTTTTTATTTACTTTTGTTTCGGTTGTGTTTTTACTTTAAATAACAAAAGTTCGAGCATCCTCTGTGTTTATCAGGTGTTCTGGAGCAGCAACACTGTTTGGGTCAATAAAGATTTGTCTTTTTACAAGTCAAATAAATTGTCAGTTGACATCAAAGATACTAAAGAAGTGTTTAGAGCCATAGCTGCTCTCTGCTTTGAGGTGTCATTTCAGTCAGTTGTGAACGATCTCCTCGCTGATCCCTCTCGTCCCGCAGGCTTCTGCCACTTGAATCTGTCTTCGGCTCAGTTCCCTCGAGGCTTCACCTTCGACTGCGATGACACGAACTTTCCCACCGAGCAGCTCTGCTTCCTGGGTCTCATCTCCATGATTGATCCGCCGCGTGCCGCTGTGCCTGACGCAGTGGGTAAATGCCGCTCTGCTGGTATCAAGGTAATTGGTTCCACAGATTCAACCTTCATTGTAGTTCCTGAAAAGCCTTTCCTGGGGCTTAATTTAACAGGCTTTTTAGTGAAGGGATTTGCATGTCAAATCCCTTTTCATATGACAAAATGGAGCACAAATGACAAGCAGCCACTGCACGATAGATGATAATCGATGGATAAATGAAATTGCTCAGAGGAAGCTGCTGACAACATGTGCAGTGGATGTGCCTTGAAAAGAAGACAAGTGTGGATTGTTATTCCGAGGTTGTGTACACACTCATCTGTTTCACAACAAGACGGGAAAAGTAGAAATTCTTATTTGAAATTAAAAAGCAGGTATTTAAGGATGAACTCAGTCTGTGCCAATATCAGATTTTATGAGAGTAAAATGTAGATTCAGTCGATTTATTTCTAAATTCCCATCACAAGTTAATGAACTGCAAATACACACAGAGCAGCTGTTTAGTCAGAGAAGTAATAAGCCGGGCTGCAGGTTAAACAACTTTCAGCAGAGACAAAACTGAGTAATGAGTTGAATGAGGTTATCAAATTCCAATTAATACAAATATGGGGGAAGGGATTTTGCACATTCAATTTCAGGTCCGGTCTTGTAGTTGTCTTATAGGTGTTGTGCTTCCTTTATTAATTACGTTTTAAATGCCTTTGTAATTCCCTTCAGAATTGAAGTAGACGCAGTCAAGAGGAAGGAAAGTGGTTAAAGAATGTTTCAAACAAAACTTGAGCAGAACACAAAGTTTTCTCAGAGATTTACTTTTGTTGTTTTGACTGAGGTGTTAAACTATAAACTCTGCCTCCAAAAATATGAAGCGAGGGAAATGTTGTTTATTTGAATGAACTAGTGTACTGTCCGTCAAACTGGAGCCTGCAGGTTGTGTCTGACTTCCAAAGAAAACATAGATATCATGGTAACAGCGAGCGCCGTTTACAGTTTAAAACAAATGGAGCAATCGCTCTCTGAAGCTCCTCTTGATAACCGCTCATCCAAAAGACTTCACATCCGACACTGCCCTTCCTCGTGTTCTCAGCAATACACCCGTCAAGTTTGAAGTGGATCAGCTGAGCGGTTGTTGAGAAAATTGAAACACAGACAGACAGACAAGCTGACAGAGATTCCTCCATTTGTTGCTGGATTTGTAGTTTGAAGGTTTAAAGCAGGTTTGACTTCACGGTGTTTCCTGAAAAGTCTAAATAATCATATTATAGAGTTTGTTCAATGGTGTTTAAAAGTGTTGAGCGAAGGCTGTTTTCACACATCGAGCAGGAAATCATTCAGCCATATCTGTGTCTGTGGATTTATGGGTAAATATAGAATAAGACGTGGGAAGCAAATGTGAAATTTCGACTGTACGCAGACGATGTCGTGTTTTCTGGCTGAAAAAAACCGTCACATCTCAGCAGAACAGCGTGAAGAACGAGTCTTCTCATGTTGAGCTGTAAGTGTGTCGTCTAACGGACAGAGAGGAACATATTTTTTACATACTAGCATACGCGTCTGTGCAAGTACAGTTCTTCTTTGTGGCTCAGGGTTAACGTAAGAACGCACGGCTGCATCCTCTGGCATCAGTCCAAGAGCTTTAGTGCAATATAAAGTGCTCCAACTTTATTGCTCCTTCAGTCAGTCTGTTTATGTCCTGCTGTATATTATAGCGGTGGTGGGGATTTTCAGAAAGGTATATGATTTATTATTGCTTTACTTTTTCATAAAAGGTTCGAAATTATTTGGCTGAGATAAAGCCTCATATGACTGTCTGTATATTAGACTGTTATACATACTTGTTTCCCAAATCCTCCCAAAACCCAAATATATTGCTTTAACTTTTAATGAAGGTTTATTCCTTCATCCACAGGAAGAGAAAGAAAAAAAACCGAGTATACATCAGGCATGTGCAGATTTTTACTGCTGTGTTAGATTTATGCGACGAAATAAGAAGTGAGGTTATTTTTGTCGATTTCTGTCACTTCCTTATGGTCGGATTATTACGATAAATTGGACAATGCCTTCGTAGAGAGCTCCTTCAGGACACGAAGCAGCTTGCAAGTCACTAAAACTAATCACTAAACATTGAAACTAGTATATTTTTGTGGAGTGGAAATGAAAATATTCTCCCTGAAACCAGGCGCGCTCATTGTTGAGCTGCTGTTGCAGATGGACTGAGGGGAGACTGAGCAAAATATCAATAAGTTTGCCCTGCCTGTCGACAACGGTGGCCACAGGCAAACGCACTCCGTGTTTTTCGGTTTTAAACCCATTATTTTCCCTGCGAGTCCATCTGTTTTTTGTTTTTTTTCTGGAGGTGAACCGCTAACCCCTAATAGCGCCTTTTCTTTCTCAGTGTAACTACACAACACGTTGGGATGATTTATAGCTGCGGCGCTGTACCTCAAGACCGCTGTGACACATGACGCACAGATGAGGTACAGCAGGGGTAATGTGGTAATGTTACATGATTTATGGGATCTTCTGCCCGGGCTCAGGTGATCATGGTAACCGGGGACCACCCAATCACAGCCAAGGCCATCGCCAAAGGTGTGGGCATCATCTCTGAGGGCAACGAGACAGTTGAAGACATCGCAAATAGACTGAACATCCCTCTGAGTCAAGTTGACCCCAGGTGTGTGTGTGTGTGTGTGTGTGTGCATGCATGCATGTGTCAGACTAGGTTTAGCTTGTGTGCACAAGAATAACTTCTGTGTAACTGTGAGATTGTGCGTCTTCTGTGTGTGAATGTGAGGGTTTTTATTACGTGGGGTTTACAGGTGTTTATTCTAGAGTTGGATAAGAAGATTAAGACCAGTCTCTGTTTCTACAAAGAGCTAATCTGACACACGACACCCTGTAAAACCACCAGTTCACTGAGACTTAGCAATCTGGCCACAGAAGTGAGGATGATATTCAACTTCTCTTCCTGCTCCCTGAAAAAATGCCAATATGCGTATTTTCCAAAATGTCAAATTATTCCTTTAGACAAAGTGCACGAAGAAGGTTTGTTCGCACGGAGGTTTATGTGAGGGTGTGTGTGTGTGAGTGAGAGAGAGAGAGAGAGAGAGAGAGAGAGGAAGAAGAAGAAAGACAAACTTGAGGAGCAAACAAGAAAATGTCAATGCCCCTCTTTGCATATAATTGTCCCTGGTGCCGCTGACTTCTTCTCTGTGTGGTTATTTGTGTGCTTCGCAGGGATGCCAAGGCCTGCGTGGTGCACGGCTCGGACCTGAAGGACATGAGCTCTGAGTACCTGGATGACCTGCTGAGGAACCACACTGAGATAGTGTTCGCTCGCACCTCCCCTCAGCAGAAGCTCATCATCGTCGAGGGCTGCCAGAGACAGGTCAATGGACAGGAGTGTGTGTCTGTGTGTGTGTCTGCGTGTGTGTGTTTGGGCCTTTTTGGAAAGTGCACAGCTGAACAGTGAGAGTGTGTGTGTGTGTTTAAACGGTTCTGAATGTAAGCATGTGCTGGTTTGTGATAAAGTCTCGATGAATGTTTCTGTTTGTGTGGAGGTTTGGTTGAATAAAGTTGTGTGTCTGTGTGTGAGTGCAGATGTGTGTGTCACTGCCATTTAAAGCTGAATGCAGTTTTCTGTGTGTGTCTGTGTTTGTGTGAACTTGTGTATTTGAGCAGTTTCTTTGTGCAGGTGGCAAAATTGATGAATACAAGCGTTTGTGCATATGAGCGCACGTTTAAATGTGTGTACGCTCTCTGGATTCCTCTTCATGAGAACATGGCTGAACGTGAGTGTGTATCATTGACGTATACGATACACACTACACAGTCCAGACTCAAATTAAACCTTCCGCTCCTCAAAGTGAGCTTTGGTGCGTGAGTCGTTGAAAACAGACGTGTGTATGCACTCGCTCACGTCCCAATATATTGAGGTCATGCATCAATTCACCCCGACTCTCACTCCATGTGACTGAATGATTACAACTCAATTCCATTTTTCATTTAATCTCCCCAGAGCTGCTTTGAAAAGACATTATTAAGACAGAAGGGGGCGGAGGACGGAGCGGGAAGTGGAGAGAGAGAAGCTTAAATCATGGTAGTTATCTTTCTTTTCCTGACACTTTTTTATTCACTGGTCCTTGTGGGTGCAGGGGGCGATCGTGGCTGTGACAGGAGACGGTGTGAACGACTCCCCAGCCTTGAAGAAAGCCGACATCGGCGTTGCCATGGGAATCGCCGGCTCTGATGTATCCAAGCAGGCGGCTGACATGATCCTGCTGGACGACAACTTCGCTTCCATTGTGACGGGAGTGGAGGAGGGTGAGTGAGGGCCAAAGAGTGGAGGAATGAGAGAACGACTGGGAACGAGGGAACGAGCAGGAGAGAGGAAGACAAGATGGAGAAAAATGAGGCAGAGAATCAGACACAGGAGATTTAGAATAAACCCTCAAAGTTCATTTTTGGTGCAGCAGCAGAGACCGGAGAGTATTTTTTTTAATACATATCTTAAAATTGAAAATGTGAAATGAAAAGGATGGTGGCTGATTTTACATCATGTTTAACAGCTGAGACTCAAATTCACACTTCAGTCACGGAAGTTAAAACAAATGAAGGAGACATTGAGTTTTTATCGGATCAGATCTGGGACGATGATGAAGCGATAAGGGAACAGGAAGTAGGTCTCACATATTTGATCTGTTAGGTTTGTCTTCAAAGAACTTCGTCTCTGTTGTGTAAATAAAAGAAATAAAACATAATAAACATTTTTTAAACCAAAATGTTCAACAGCACGACCTCAGGGACGGGCTCCGCTCTGAACACGATATCTCAAGAATACCTGAAGGAAATGATTTCATATTTGGTGCAAACATTCAGTTGGACTCCAAGATGAACTGATTCCATTCTGGTTGTCGGGGGTCAAATGCAGTCACTGTATATCTAGTTTATCTCAATAAGTCTGGAAATGTCACTTTAGCTTGATTAAGTCTGCGACATGAGGAAAAAAGTCAATATTCAAACTATACCACAGACTTAAGTCACCAATATATCATCCAATATCTACTCAGTGGTGTCTCACTATTAATAATATATCAATATAGTCTCTCCCAACTCTGCCTGAAGTATTCATCCTTGTCTTTTTTTTTTATCGCTGTAGGTCGTCTCATCTTTGATAATTTGAAGAAGTCCATTGCCTACACGCTGACCAGTAACATCCCAGAGATCTCCCCCTTCCTCCTCTTCATCATCGCCAGTGTTCCTCTTCCTCTGGGAACAGTGACCATCCTCTGCATCGACCTCGGCACCGACATGGTGAGCAGTGGGGGAGAGTGACTCCTAACTCCTTTAACGAGCCCCTCTGTCCCTCCGTAACAGCAGTTTTCTACCATTATAATAATCAATGTGCTTCTGAAAGAATTACCACTTAACGGACGCAACTGGAAAACTAATTGTTTGAACTCACTGATTGCTGAACGCTAATTGCTCAATATTCTCCTGGCCTTTTGGATATTCATTTACAGGAAGTCACAACAACATTTACGAAAGCAGTGCCCATTCTAAACCTGTTGCAGATTTCTTTCTGAAACTGTAAAAGTGACCTCGGACATTAAACAGTATGCGGCTCTTGAGATATGAGAGTCACAGACAGACATTTGTTTTTTTGGAAAACCGCCGACGTTCATTTGTAGATGTAGAACAAAGACCGTGTGACACGCACATACAGATTTTCATTTCGCTGCGCTGCCATTTTCCAGATGTCGGTCTCTCCATTTGTATTTCCAGCATCATCAAAAAAAAGAGTTGCTGGCACGCCACTTGCCTGAGGGGCGTAATCCATCATTACAAAAGAAAGGAAGCACACGATGAATGTGGCATATTCAAAAGAACTTGTTCACTTGTGTTCATCACTTTAAATTTAATTCGTCCTGCTTTCAGCCACCAGACGTAAGTGAAACTGGTCGTCAAACGTCCCAAGGAGCCGAAGGCAAAGGTTTTTTTAGCCGCGTGTATTATTATGGCCTCACGACCAACTGCCGAGAAGCATTTAAAGTCTCCACCAGTCAAAGATAAAGATGAACAGCTTGCTCACGTTGTTAATACAGCGGTTCCACTTATTTTTACTCAGGTGAGATTGAAAAAAAAACTAACTTCTGTGGTTTTCTATCAGCAGGACAAATTTGTTCACAAATATTTTCTAAGCTGTCTGGGATCACAGGGATGGTGGCGTCTTTATTGGCTGCTTTTCTCTTTAAAGATGTGATGATTGAAGTTGAAAAGCACCTAATTTGTGCTCCTATTTTGCATATAAAACCCCATCCCCTTCAAAGTAACATGTCTGCATGTATTTAACAAACGCTGGTGGAGAGAACAGCTGGACGTCTGCTTTGAAGAGGAGGACCCCAAAATGAAAAATATCGAAATATGCGGTGAAATATCTGAAAAGCGTTGATAGTACAGTACACAAGTAAAACTACAGATTTCCCACATCTGCTGGTGAGGTTGTTAACAGCTTGTTAACAGCTTAGTTCAACTCCAGGCTACAGGCTTGAGGGCTCTGCTGAGATTTAGCTGTAACAAGCAGCGCTTGGAGTCTGCTATGATTATTTTTAGCAAGTGCTGCCATGTGGAGAAGGACGGCTGCAAAAGATGTTTATCAAAGATGTGGCGCAGTTGAGAACGCTTCAAGACTAAAATGTGGATATTACACACGGACACTTTCAGAAGTGTGAAGAATCATCGCCGGGCATATTCATATCCTCCTCCCTCTCGCTTGCCTCTCTCCGCGGCTGTGGGTCAGGGAAGTGTAAAACCAAAACAAACTGGATTTGTCGACCACGGAGCATGTGTTCAGTTTCACGCTGTGCCAAAATCTTCACCTCAAATCCCTCCTAAGTCGCAGAGATTTCCCGCCCTAAGTCACACATATTGCTCAGTTGCTTACCTGGTAAAACCAGCCAATATAGGATCCTTATTACAGGAACCTGTCTACCCTCCCTTTTTATGAGCCCTGTGTATCCTCTACCTAGCTCTCTCTCCATCACTGTCATTGCTTCCCCTTTTCCTCTCTCTTTGCCCTTTTTCTTTCTTCTCTCCTTCCAAACTGTGATTGAATGCTATATTATATTAACAGAGCCGTGTCCTGTCTACCCCGTGTTTGGCACTGTCGCTGTGCCTTTGTACCGATGCCACAAAGACAAATTCCTGCACATTCATCCAACAGGCTGCGTAATGAGTGTACATATGCATATGAGCCGTTCCTGTTCCCTCCCCCCCCCTGTTTCTCCCAGGTCCCAGCCATCTCATTGGCTTACGAGACAGCCGAGAGCGACATCATGAAACGCCAGCCGAGGAATCCCGCAACGGACAAGCTGGTCAATGAGCGTCTCATCAGCATGGCCTACGGACAAATAGGTTTGTCCTCTTATGTCTCATCACCTCTCTGCACCCCGGCTCTTAAACCTGAAGCGCTGCAGCCTCTCGTAGTGAAGTTATGACCATTATAAACATCCCCGGCATAAAAACATCCATCAGTCATTTCTAACCGCCTGTGTAAAGGTTTAGGTACCTACAGTTCAGGAGAACAGATATAGAGGTGAGCAAGAGTCAGGAGAGAGTCCCACAATTTTCAAATAATTGTCATGACATTTACAGCAAATTGAGAGTAGAGCCTGCTACTATTTTCTTAATCTTGGCCATGTTTCTCTGGTTGGAGCTTCACTTTGAATGCTTGCTTTTTATCTCTGGTTTTATATGTTTTGGGAATAGTGAAGAATCAAAGGCTGGCCCAATTTCATAGGCTGTTAAAATAGGTCAAAATACGACAGGGCTCCAATGGATGACGTGCAACTTAAAGCTGAACACGTTCAAAACACCGTCGCTGCTGGGGCCAAAGTTTCGCAGGTCACATCAAATCACGTTTTACAAACCAGCGCTCTGACATTACAGCTTGAAGTCTTAACACCTCTGCAGTGAACTCTGATCTGATCTGATCGAGAGCGACACGCGATAAATGTGACGGTGGGATTAAAATCACACGTAACCACCGGTGAGGAAAAGTAGAGATGAGCAGAAAACAAACACAGTTACATTTGCTATTGTAATGGTTTAAGAATAATGCAGGGTTTTAATTTTACGACATAATGAATGAGATGAGTAATTAGCATCTTTTAAATCCTTGATCAGTGCTTGTGGAGGTTTTGTATTTGTGATGACTTAAGCCCTAAAGTAAGTCCATCATGTCGAAAATGTTACACCCTCTCAGACAAAACTCATTTGGAAACATGAAATTAAAACTCACCATTGGCTATTAAAGCTGTCTTCAGCTGTCTGGAGGCATTTACTTACAGATGGGAACATCGTCGAGGGCAGAGGGAGGAAGATATATTCACCTGTTTCTTCTTTTAATATATGAAGTGACAAAAACCAGGAGGCTAAATATCTACTGTGCACTTTGCAGGAACATAAGTCAAGTTATTTGATTTTATTCCAATAACTGTGGTAAAACAGAAGGATTTGTTATTCTATCCGATTGGACATGACCTACACTGCCATCTTATATTAAGTGATCCATTTCTTAAACTTGTGAAAACACAAATAAAATGGCAAAGACTCCCTAATGTATGGTCATGTAAAGTTTCCTATTACATTTCTTGTTTCCTTGAAGGACCCGTCTGATCTTCAAGTTATTATCACGAACACAGAGACAGTGTTATACTGATTAACTCTCCTGTTCAGTACACCTCAGGTCGACTGGGATGGTTTTTAACACACAAACCTGAGATATAGAATTAACCCAACAGTCTTAAATTCAACCAAGCCACAACAAATCTCTCACACTCATTGCCTGATTTCTTTTCATCGAGAGTCATCCATTATTCATGGGTATATCTCTGAAAATGTAAGAAAAAAAAAAAAGAAACCTGCCATATTTCCCAATGTTAAAGAATATAAAAAAATGTCCTGGATCAGTTCCTTTGTCCAGATCCCTGCCAATATTTAACCGACGCTTTCTTGGCCCATGTCCCATCCTTCTACCAAGTTTCGTGGAAATCTGTTCAGTGGTTTTTGCATAATCCTGCTGACAAACAACCAAAGAAACCAACACACAAACCAACAGAGGGTTTTTAATTACCTCTTTGGCGGAGGTAATTATAAACCACTTGAATGTTGTCCTGGGTATTAATGGAGCAGTTCATTCAAGGAAATTCTACTGGAAATTAATAATAATCTCAACCATAACTGACTAAAATAAATAATACCATTTTCTATATATTTCCTCTATAACTGGCACCCAGTACTTCATAAAGTAAATGCTTTAGAGAGGGTCGTCCACTAACCAGAAGGTCATTGGTTCGTTCCCTGGCTCCTCTACTTTGCATTCTGGAGTTTCCTCCTGAATTGAATGTGAATTGCACTATTAAGTGCCTTGAGTGGTTGATGAGGCTGGAAACACACAAAATAAATACAGTTAATTTACCATTTCAGGGAAACTTCCTACACAATTACTATGAAATTACAGATCGTTAAAATAAATCCTTGTGTTCAGGGAACAGAACAGACTTAGGTTTGTCATTGATCCCAGATTAATGTACCTTCACATTTCTTGAAACAGGCATGATCCAGGCTCTGGGAGGATTTTTCACCTACTTTGTGATTTTGGCTGAGAACGGCTTCCTCCCCATAACCTTAGTGGGCATTCGCATTGACTGGGACGCCCGCGAGGTCAATGACGTGGAGGATACTTACGGCCAGCAGTGGGTAAGGAGTGAGGACAAAGTAGAACCAATGAAACCCTTTGGATATTTCCACACTCGTGCAAGTTAAAATACAATGTGTGTGTGTGTGTGTGTTTGTCGGCCCGGCAGACTTATGAGCAGAGGAAGATCATTGAATTCACCTGCCACACCAGCTTCTTCGTCAGCATCGTGGTCGTCCAGTGGGCTGATCTGATCATCTGCAAGACCAGGAGGAACTCCCTCTTCCAGCAGGGCATGAAGTAAGTGATAGTAAGGTCAGGGTGAAGAAAAGGGATTGAAGGATGTAAGGGTTAAGTGTAAATAGGTGAGAATTCCTTTAATTAGCCTCATCCTAGATCAGTCCTTCCTGGTTCTCTCTCTGATTAGTTCTCGGTTTTTTTTGCTCAACAGGAACAGGATCCTGATCTTCGGCCTGTTTGTTGAGACGGCTCTTGCTGCCTTCCTGTCCTACTGCCCGGGAATGGACGTCGCCTTACGCATGTACCCCCTGAAGTACGCTCTGCATATTCACAACTCCATCTAACTGAGAAATAACCTCTTTAAAGGGAGGCTGCCTGTTAGCCTGTCACTCTTGTCTTTTAAAAAGAAGCCTGTGCTCTCTTTAAACACCACCTAGTTATCCTTAATATTAAAAAAATGACTGCAATGAATTTAATGATTTGCACTCTGCCTGTTACTCACTGCTACTCTATCCATCTCTACTCTTTTTTTTATTTCTTCTCCTTCCTCTCAGGGCGATGTGGTGGTTCTGTGCCTTCCCATACAGTCTCCTCATCTTCATTTATGATGAGGTCCGTAAATTAATTCTGAGGATATCCCCTGGAGGTAAGCAGTTATTAAAGAGAAAGCAAGATTAAAAGGTTTCAACCTTATTTATCTTGTTAATAAGCTTGAAGAATAAAAAAAAAAGCCAAGTGACAGGATAGCACTGCTGCTGTCCGTCAGGATGAATAAAGGTCTCGTAAGAGAAGACAGTAGGAATTATCTCACCTCTGCTCTGCTGATCTGACCTGAAGGATCCTAAAACAGCACAAGAGAAATTCTTAAAAAGATCTTTGAACTATTTCGACTGAGATAAAAAAAAAAAAGGAAAGTGCTGGTGCACATTTTAAGAAATAATATTAACAATTACAGATGATTATTGACGACAAAGGATTTAGGCTTTAATCATGGGTTTCTAAAACAGCTGCCGTGAAATCTTTCTCACTTCTCCGTTTTGGGATAAAGTCCATGATTTGAGAAGATTCTAACGTACTCTTTGGCAGTTCTACATAAATTACAAAATCGGAACTTGCCTGCAAGTTAATCTTACATTCAACCAGATAGGCTGGTTTGGTTCTAACCCTTATCAAGGCAGCAGGAATTCATCAGGCGTCCAGCAGAACCGCTCGATGCTGAACAATTCCCTATAGCTTTCAAAATTGTAGCCTTCGCAACACTTGACTGATGACTGTTTGTCTCCCAGCTTTGATTTCTGACAGAATAGCCTGTAAATGCATTGCAGCCCAGCAGTTAGACTTCTGTTCAATAAATGGAGGATAAAACAGCAAGAAAACCTCACATACGCTTCAACCCTGTGATTTAATTTGATGTAAGTTTTGAGCTGCAACCAAAGCCTTCTTGAAAACATCTCGCTCATTAACCGACGAGTGAAAACATAAGATATTCCCAGCTTTGTTGATGAAAGCAGAAAAACAATAATACACAAAAACATTAAGTGATTCTTCTTTTGGCCCAGAGGTAAAAATCTTTAGCAGTGTGCAGCGTGCGAAATGACAAATATTTCGGCAGAAATCTTTTTTAACTCCGTCAACTCGTAACCTCGCACCAGGAAACAGATAATATCTGTCCAACACCAGCAGAAACAGCAGCAAATGATGAGAAAGGAAATTAAAGCAGGCTGATGAAGACACTTGAGATATGCCCCAAAGATCACACATATGATACATACACACTGCGGCTCAGAATCTGTTCACTGCCGCGGTGTTTCGTCTGATGAGGGGCAAGACACGGGGAGACAAATACAATTTATAGTGACAGTTAATCATTTCTGTTAATCTGTGCGTCACGGGCTGCTGATCAGACTCTTAGAGTTATAAGGGGATTCATTTGGAAATGTACAGAGACAAAGGCAACGAGATGAATACAAATAGAGCGACACAAAAGGATATTATGAAAACTGCTCAGCTGTCATTTTGGTCTCTTGCACGTTGTCTCTTTCTCATATTGTGTTTTTGTCTCTATCTTCCAGGTTGGGTGGAGCAGGAGACATATTATTAACATTCATACAATGTCCATGTGAATTGTGTGTCTGTGAGAGTGTGTGGGTGTGCATGCATATGTATGTTTGGCAGGGTAGAGCTGTGTGTGTGTGTGTGTGTGTGTGAGTTGTAATATCACATGGTTCACAAATCTGGTTATTATAAAAAATAAAAAAAAAACTGCTGAAAATAAGCTTTGCTTTGAGTTTTGGTTTTCTCAGAAAACATTTCCAGCAGAACAACTTTGTGCCTTATACGCTTTTACCAAATTGATGTATCATGGCCTGTTTGGCTGTAGGAGTAAATAATGTCATTTATTGTATGAAATTTACCAAATAAAATATATTCCAAAATATCCCTGACCTCTGATTCATTTATTCTTCATTTGTTCTCTGTTGTTGCTCTTATTGCTCATTATAATGTCCATTAAGGAGGTTTTGTTTTCACCCCTGTCCATTTACATGTTGGTTGGAAAATGGGCCATGTAAGATTATATAGATCTTTAAATCATATACTATTTGTGGGCAATTCTGGACAAAATGTTTCTTTCATTACTTTCTTTTACATTGAGAGATGTATGAGGCATTTTTTCCCACTTATTACCCAGGGAATAATTCAGAGATCTAACTGGAAAAAACTCAAACAAATTGAGCCAACTGACATTTATGAGCGTGTGCAATCCAAATAAAAATCCAGATCTAGTGGATTTGAATGTGGTTTCATGAGGAGGCAGGTTTTGATTTGTTTTTGTCTTTTATTCAACCGATCATTCTTCTGCTAAAGAGATTATGATTTCATGATCTGAATTGTTTTGCTGGTTTAGCTTTGAGGCTTGATTGAAGTTAAGGGGATTGTTGGGTCTCGGCAGAGGTTTGTGCTCTACTGAGAGTCGTTGTAGTGCTCAGACAAGTTTTATTGTTTTTTTTTAAATATAATAAATTGTTTTAGGACAAAACCAACAGAAGGAAACAGAAGACGATTAACTGACAAATCTATCAAGTCAGTGATGCGTTACCTCCGCTGAGCCCCACACCAGTTGCTCGGGCGTTGTTGACTGAGTTGAAGGTTACACCAAAACAGATTTAAAACAAAGGACACCGTCTGAACTACAAAGTGTTTGTTTTCCACTAATTACTACTGCTGCATGTTGTAGCCGTGTTACCGTTACACGTAATCAAACAAAACACAACCAACGAAAATACCGATGGTGCAACAGGTAAATTAGAAACCATGGTGGTTTGAAAACAAAACCCATTCATGTGAAAGACAGATCAAATCAAAGGAAGATCAAACTCAAGAAAAGATCAAATGCAAGAAAGATCAAATGAAAGAAAGAAAGAGGGATAAAAGAGAGAGAGACAGAAAAGTAAAATCACAGACTTCCACCATCTCATCTTTGTCACCGTGACCGGCTCTGACCTTCTCGAGCCACGCCCTCGCGGATCTACGTAAACGGGCGGAACAACAACATCCGGTTGCGTCACTTCCGCTCGTAGCCTGTCAAACATGGCGCTGCTGCTAAGGTCAGTGCATCTGTGCTACACAGTGTTCGTGTGTTTTAAAGTCATATTTGTGGGTTAGCTTAGCAACCGAAACACGCGAGCAACACCCGCAGGCAAGGGTTTGGTCTAACGCGGCGGACTGTTGCTCTTTATTCTGTATTTTTGTCCGTGTGTGTCGTTAATATGCAGCTACCTGTCGCTAGCTGACATTAGCTAGCAGGCTAACGGCTGTCGGGTGTGAGAGCTAACTTTGAAAGTTGACTTTGTGTCTGATTGTTATTTGTGACGGACTCACACTGTTCGGTTTGTTTCATCCAACCGTCATGTGCGTTGTTATCTTATCCAGTAAGAGGGTTTAGCTTGAGCTAGCTTGGTGTTAGCCGACAGCCCGTCGTGGCTACACGGTGGTGCCTTCACGGACAGAATATTAACAACTGTGTGAAGTCCGATTATTGTTGAACTTTGTCCCCTTCATGAACCACAGGTGTGAGTTACAGAGAAGCACAATGTCCTTTACCTCGTCTTTTTAAAAAAATCGAAGTTATCACTGCTCCTGTTCTTGTTTTCTCCTTCAACTCAGCAGTGATTTCCTTCCTCCTCTGATATGTTCCCTATAATAAGATTGATTTGAGTCCTAAGTGATCATCCGCCGGAAACTAATTGTCTTAAAGATAGAAATCTGACTTCACTGCGTCACATTGTTTCCTTCAAGTTATTTAAAATGGTACATGGACGTGGCTGGGTTATAATCTAGGGCATGAGGCAAAAATAACTCAGTCGTAATGATAATTCCTTCATCTCTATGTATAATCTATCTGTAAATGATGCTAAATACAGTCTAACCAAATATAAACAAGGGCTTTAGATCTACAGGCATGTGTCCTATAGGCTGTACACGCTGGAAGCTGTAGTGTGTGAAGGTCACGCCTTTTGCTTTTGAATATGTTCCAGGTAAATATCTTCATCAGTATAGATTTGTACAAAAGCTTCAGGTACGATAATCAAACTAACAGTGGGAATGACTTTATAACTTTAATGCCATTAATAGATGTTTTCATTTGTTTAAGTAAACAGAAGAAATTAATAAAGTCAATTTTCAATGTGACGACCATTTACCTTTAAAACTGCACCTATTCTCCTGGTGCAGTTTTCCCAGGTAGTGGGCAGGTTGGTTCTTCCAACATCCTGCAGAACTTGCCCCAGTTTTATGATTTCTAAGTTCACTCCCTGATGTTAAGATCCAAACTGTGTGGGCTGAGGAAGCCTTTTAAGATGGTTCTTAATGTTTCCGTATATTTTAAGTCACTTTTATGTCTCACAAAGAAATTGGGGTTGGTGTCGTTCCTGATAGATGAGAATCTGTCTGAATTGTTTAAAACTTACAATCAGTGTAGGATGTCTGATCAGGGTAACGGAAGCGAAGTAGATTGAATATTGTACATTGTTTTACAAATTGTTTTGTCAGACGATAATATATTCATGAATAAATGTGATAATTTTCATAATACCATCCTTGTTTTTGTGCAACATTTGTGTCCTTGTCATTTTTTTTGTTATATTTTTTGTCATGAAACTCTTTTTCAAACAGTCCTATTAACACAACATCTAAACTTGCTGTGTACAAGATACTGTGTTTGTATGATTTTCCTCACAAGTGTTTGACCCTGATGTTAAATATAAATTTAAAAACTTCTTTCTTCTTTTCTGTTTTTAGGGCATTTGCTCGTCAGGGTGTGTGTCTCAGACCACAGTACAGTGTCATCTACAGACAGTGAGTTGTGTGCGCATGTGTTTGTGTGAGAGAAAACAAGAGCAAGAACTATGTCAACATAACATATGCTGCAACTTGTCATAGTAATGATGCAAATATACAAATCCCAACTCTCTTTCCACTATAGTGCGGCTCCAATGGGAACCACAGCGAAGGAGGAGATGAACAAGTTCTGGGCCAAAAATTCCAAATTAAATCGACCCATGTCTCCTCATATCAGCATCTACAAGTATGTCCCTCGTCCCACATACAGCTCTGTTGTCTTTTGTTGTTCAGAAAACATTCTCAAATGAAGGATGGAGATGACTCAGTTGTTCAAGTGAAACCATATGCTCCATTTATGTTTTACAATTTCAGCTTCATATTTTCAAAGACAATAAAAGTCTCCTGCAGCACATTATCCATGTTGAGAATGATGTTGCAGTTCAGATCATGCAGTCTTTTCAATCTTTTAATGCTTATAAAACAGCAGGACAAGCCCCCATTACCAGAGATTTGTATGCCTGTGGATACATGTAGTGCAATAAGTACTGTGATGTACTGTCAGGCAGTTATTAGAATAATAAAATCTGAAGTAAAGAAGGTATGTCTACCTTGCAGTTTCTCACCAGGTTTCCCTTCTGGCTAATTTTATCATTTATCAGTCATCTGGGATCATTTTTATGGCTCAACTGTGCCCGGGCACTTTGTCTCTGGCATTTTTTGCTCCTCACCCAGTGGTTGTTTGTAACATTTGAGATCTAGTGATTTAAATCACTCGCTACCATCTGTTTTAAAGGAGAAAACGCACTTTTTTAAGTTTATCTTTCCTTTACTGTGTCCTATAGGATTTTTCTTTGAGTGTCAAAGTTCTGCATGGTTTAAAAAACCCAAAGTCTGTGGTAATGGGAGTTTCTCTCCCCCACGGAAAACACGCTCCTGATACCCAGAGTCAAAGGTGCGGCCGATACTTCCACATGGTTGTGATGTCACAGGGAATTTTCATAATGCTGCTGCAGCTAGTATAGCATCGCCCCCTTAAAAGCCAGGTCAAGAATTTGCCGAGGCCGACATTTGTTGCATTTGTTGTTTCTGCACAACTTTGTGTATAAGACTCGACAATTAATTTTTCACTTTCACTACACAATATTGCCGGTGTGACTGTAGACTCCATGCTGCAGTTTTTTGTGCACTTTGTATATATGTTTGCAATTATAACAAATGTGTTGTGTTTCCTCTGTGGTGCAGATGGTCCGTCCCCATGATGATGTCGGTCACACACAGAGGAACTGGTGTGGGGCTCAGCGGAGGTAACACATCCCTGACTCGATAGATTTATCAGTTAATCGTCTTCTGTTTCCTTCTGTTGGTTTTGTCCTAAAACAATTTATTATACTTAAAAAAACTATAAAACATGTCTGAGCCCTTCCTTGTTTTTGTTATTATTATCTGAAGCTATTCTCTCAGCTTTTGATTGACCCTGAAAATCTCTTCAGGGCATTTTAGTCCATCTCTTATTGATTTCTGCTAAGAGCGTTTACTGGCATTATAAAACACTAGTTGTTCAATACAATTCAACCCTTTGCATGAGAGAATTAAGTCCAGCACTGGACTGCTGATAGCTTTTAGCCGCTGGTCTGGTGCAAAGCTTGAGCCCGTGTTACTGTGACATCGCACATCAGCAGCGTTGACCTTGATGTGTCATGCTGCAAAAGCTGGATTCAATTTTGCTTTTGTGTCAATGGGTTCAATCAGGGTCAGGGCCCTCAACGGCCACTCTGACTCATAAACAGTCACTCGCTCGGTGTCAACTTTACCAAAATATCACACATGATTTATCACAGTGTCTGAAATCAGCATTCTGGGCTGGAAAACGTACTGAATGCACTGACTGAAAAAAATCCATCCAAAGTAAGAAACTTTATAAAGTTTCATTTTAAAGGTGGTTTATAAACACATGCAGTGTTTTGTCTGTTTGTGTATCTACACTTTTTGTGTTTATTAACTTCAGACCCTCCACATGGAAATCATTAAACACTTCTCCTGCCATTATGTGTTTCAATCATCATGGCAGCTGAGAAGCAGAAACTTTGACACTGCTGT